TTTCATGTCAACATGGAGCAAAATCTCTGAAGAATATTTCCAGTACTTTGTTAAATCTATGCCACGAAGGATTAAGCCAGTTCTGGAGGCATAAATGGGTCCAACTTGGTACTAGTAAAGTGTACCTGGCAGGTGAGTGTAAATCCATCTAGATTTTATCCATCTAACCAGACAAATGAATGCGATGAAATACAGTGGTGAACATATAAAGTGGATCCAAACATGGGTGCTGTTCAATAGTGTTAGGACAACTTTGAGGACCCACTTCAAATGTTGTTGACTACTGCAAGCCCGTAGCCAGCCTGGTGAAAGGTGTGGTTCTTTTTTTTTTTAAAATATGAACCTTTTTGCAGTTATTCGTCTCATTTTCTATTTATTATGAAGTTTAAATACTTTTTAAGCACTATTTTCTGCTGGATTAGCTTGTTGGAAGATCATCAACCACACTTTTTGATGTACCAAAGACATTTCCTAAACAGTAAGAAAAAAAAATCATGGAGAATAATACTTATTTTTCAAAAACAAATGTATTAAATCATACACCGTTAAAAAAAGGATGCTGTTCATGTTTTAAATGAAAAACTAGCCTATATTGTCATTGATTAGGCAAACACAAAGTGGCCAGCACATTTTACTTTCCTCAGTCTGAAGCAGCAGCCAAATGAGAATTCACGCTTGGTCTTAAAGTCTTCTTCGATGTATATTTTCACAATTTATCATGACACAGCAGTCAAAATACCACAAATAAGCTTATGTATCGGACAAATTCTGGACTTTTGTCAGTGAGGGGTGGTATTGCGACTTCCTGATTCCTCAAGTTGCTAGAGAGTCAGTGAGCGTCCTTTGAATTTGTGACGGGCTGTGTGGCTGAGACAGACGCGCTGAGCCCAAGATGTTAGTAGCAAAACTTTTTATAAATTTGAAACAAGACATGATAAACAGCAATCTGTGGATTGAATACCTGTTGCATATTGCGTTAAAGACTGATTATTGCGTTGCAGCGTGGCGTGTAGTGCTATAGGGTTGTTGCGTGTGCCGTGGCGGGCAACAAAAAATATGGTTACCCCACTCTCATTCTCTTTTCCTAACTGTGTGAGGTGGGTATGCCCATGTGACCAAAACATAACACGTCACTGTGAAACCCAAACTATTCAGTAAACAAATAAACATCATCATTAAATGAAAATTAATATGGCTACTATAGGTGGGTCTTTCAAACCACCTGAAGCCCCTTTGGCTACTGGCCTGCTAAGGTTTAAAGTTTAAAGTGTAAAGTGGATCAAAACCTTTCACCAAAGTTGCCCTAACACTATTCAACAGCCATTATAGTCATGGGACAATTCTGATTCCAATTTTGAATTCCAATTCAAAAACGTTTTTGATCCACTTCAAATGTCGACAACTGTATATGCGTGTCATAATCTATATGCGTAAAATACAGCTAAGACTAAAATATCTATATAAAAAGTTCATCTAAATGTAATGTGAATGGAAGCACACACAAATGTACGCCTTTTTCACACAGTCTCACGTTTTCTGGATGAAAATTACTAATAAACTATAAACGTTAAAACATCTATACGCAAAACTCACGCAGAGGTTTGACGGTGCAACAGATTTAGCAGCTTCTGCACATCTTCTAGTCATCTCCGCATGCTAAGCTGGAATAAAAGAAAGCACTTTAACTTGAAAAAACAAGAAAGCCGCTCTTCACCTTTAACAAGTTCAGATTTTTCACAGCAGGAGAGCATCATGGCAGATGCGGCAAAAACACAGACGCTTTGAAGACAAAGACACCGTCAGTCTAACAAATGCTCTATCAACTGTGACTCCACATGACAGCCTTTTTGATCTTTGATTCATTAAAAAAATAAATAAATAAAAAAAAAATAACACCTGATATACACAACCTCTCAAGTTAGGAGAGAATAATGCAGTTTAAATGGTAAATCTATATAAAAGTGTAACAAATAACATGCATGTACTAACACTTTGCAGCCTAAAGGGTAGATGATATCAGGACTGTGCAATATATGATGATATATATCCTGTGGACAAAATAAAAAGTCTATATTATGCTCTTTTCTTTATTTTAATGTGTCTCTAAATGCATTTTATGATGGTAATGCCTTTTCACTAGCTTGCAATACTAAATTTGTAATACTTTTTCATCATTATCATGAACGCAATATTGCATGGGATATTGATATCATTGACAGGGATGCAGACAGAAACATGAATAACAGCATCATGAGAAAGTTGCAATCTTGCAAAAACAGTGTTCATATTTTAGATTTTATTTAGTGATTTGTTTTTGTATTTTTATGTTGCACCTGTGATTATTCGTTTTTCTAAAGCGCTTTATAAATAGCAAAACTCAGCCCAAGGCACTTGAGAAAATATTAAAAAGCCTTTATTGACACGGCTATTCCTTAAAACTGCGCTAAACTTTGGCAAACAACTGCCTTCATCAGGTTAAGGAATATTTAAGGACTAGCCATGTCAAGAAAGGCTTCTTAAAAAACATTTTGCCACATATTTCGAGTGCCTTGGACTGATTTTTGCTGTTTATTCTGATGAATCCCTTACCCAAAGAGCGCAGACACATTTTTATAATACCCCTGAGCACTTTTCGTTTGATTTAGTGTTTTATTAATACTTATTTTACATTTCTACACCCTAAAATCAAACATTTGCCCTTAAGTACTACATAAAGTGAAAAGTGTGATCACATACGAGTGATTTTTGCAGTATATACTGTTAAACTTACAAGTATTAATTATTTATAAACTATTAAATGATTGAATTTACAGAAATTACACTACATCATATTAGGTTATCTGAGGAAATGAGATGACTTAATGTGAGATTTTAGTCATATCACCCAGCATTAGATGATGTTATGAAGACAGTACTATCAAAATGCTAAGCAGATGAAGTAAGAACAACACAAGCTGGGTAAAAATAATACTAACCTAATGACTGCTGTCTAAATAAGCTATTTTTTTAGGATAAAGCACCCATACTCATGCTTTTGATTATGACATTGTGAAGTGCACAAGCTCTGGATGCAGACAGAAACATGAATAACAGTATCATGAGACAGTTGCAATCTTGAATGTACAGTGTTCTTATTTTATTTAAAGACTTGTTTTTATTTTTATGTTGAACATGTAATCATTCATTTTTCTAAAGCATTTTATTAATAGCAAAAAATCAGTCCAAGGCACTCTAAAAATGTGGGAAAAGTATTAAAAAGCATTTCGGCAAACAACTGCCTTCATCAGGGTAACAAGATTCAGGTTACCCTGATCAAGGCAGTTGTTTGGCGATACGTTTATGCGCAGTTTTAGTTAGACAAGTCATGTCAATAAAGGCTTTTTAATGTATTTCGAGTGCCTTGGACTGATTTTTTGCTGTTTACTCTGATGAATCCCTTACTCAAAGGGCACTGACACAATTGTTTAAGTTATCCCTGAGCACTTTTTATTTGTGTATAGTGTTTTATTAATATTTATTTAACATTTCTACATCCTCAAAACAAACATTTGCTCTTAAAAACTAAATAAAGTGAGAGGTATGATCACATATGAGTGATTTGTGATGTATATACTGATACATTTTCATGTGTTTAATATATACAAACCAATGACGGTAAGAATATACAGAACTACATCATGATATATATTGCTATATTAGGAAATGAGATGACTTATAATATGAGATTTTAGTCATATCACCCAGCATTAGATGATGTTATAAGGACAGTATCATGAAAATGCAAAGCAGATAAAGTAAAAACAACACAAGGTGGGTAAATATACTACTAACATAATGAATGCTGTCTAAATAAATTATTTAATTAGCATAAAGCACACATACTCCTGCTTTTGGTTATTACATTGTGAAGTAACGTTACAATGTGGAGAAAATCTCTTTGCTGTTGAAGTTGCTGAGACTTCACTAACGTTACAAGCTTGGATAAAAGGAAAGCGGGAGAAAATTGTACACAAAATAGTGAGCTAAAACCAAAGATTTCGGTCTTGTCATGCGCACAAATGCAAAGCAGCGGTTCTAAACTATGTTTATCCGCAAACAGACTGAAAACTAGATGTAGGACGTAAAAGAAAATCGCAAAAAATGCGTCTTGTGGGGTCAGCGCTAGCAGCTCTTGCTAACGCGGCTGTTTGAGCAGGCCTAGCGCGCGCATCCACAACACACATCCAAACTCCATCGCGTCCACCCCAAAAATGAGGGGAAAATACCGGGATATCGCGAATTCTGTTAGGCACATACTGCCAGGACAGTTAAAAAAAGCAGCTAAGGGTGTCCTGCAACTCATTGGCGAAGAGCAACTTTTTTGGGAAAGCGACGCAAAGAAAGGGTTAACCCGAAGGAAACATTGGTTGGTCGGGACGGCAGGCGTGCAGGCCGATCGGCTAGCAGAGCTAACAGCCCGAGTGCATGAACACACAGCAGCCCAAGATGGACACCAGCAACTGCAGGAGCTGCTTTTGCAAAAAATATTCATTTTGCATTTGCTAAAACCCAGCTCAAGTCATTTTCATGCATACAGCAACCGCGAGACTATTGAACCCCGTTGGCTCATATAGCAAGCTAACGTCGTGGACGACTTTCACTTTTTTACACCCCCAAAACCGCCCAGATTTATACTCCTTCACAAATTTACTCATTCATATCGACACGGTCTGCGGTCAGTCAGCTGCAGTAACGCGCTCTCGATGCATTAGTATGCAAAACAGCATTTTAGGCAGGGAACAATAACATTTAGACGACTCGCTTTCTTTCAGAACAAACAAAAATCATCTGCAGACCGACCGGTACATAGAAGGCAGAACATATAAGTGCATCGCTTGTCATGATGACAGAAGGCTTCATACCTTGACAGATGTTTCAATGCATGCGCTGAACAACTGTCATCGCTGTAAATAAATGCAAAAGCAGAAATTAACTTGTAGCAGCAAGAAGAACTCACTCACCCGAGACACGAGCGCCCTCTCCCTCATACCGCGAGCCTCAAGTTGTGTCGGATGAAACACAAATCTTCAGAAGAAAACAAAAAAAAACACTAGTTTCAGACAAACTCTTTCTCAGCGAGCGCTGTGAGTTTTTTGGCAAGCAGCGCGCGTTCGCGTGCACGCGCACACTGACTATCTTAAATGTTCTGCTGCTGGAATCCAGCGGTGTTTTGCTTTACAAGCCATCGCTACGTGTCTGATGGCTTGAGTCTCGCATATCAAGCATCCTCCGAGCTCCACCGAGGCGCTCGAGCCGGAGAAAGTGCGCGTGGACTCGGTTTTTTTTTTCTTCCCGTCTTGAAGAGAAAGCAGACAGTGCTCAGTGCGCGCGCCCGACACCCAGGCGATCCCGCGACTCAACTCTGACTTCTTCACTTTATTTACGAAATGATCAAATGCTTACAGATATGAGAACTTTATGAACTTTTGTCTTTGCCACCACTACAATTTGTCATTTGCATAATTTTGAGTAAATAGTTTTTTATTGTTTATTTAATTTAATTTAATGTTATTTTATGTACGTATGTCTTTGTGTATGTATGCGCTATTTATATTTTTATTAGGAGTCGGAATCACCAGTCACAATGATATGATTAAATCACAATGCAATATTATAATGATATTTGTGTCACGATAATTTTTTTCACAATACAATTTGATCATAATACGATTAGACCACGATGTATTGTCACAATACTTGTCACGATACACTATTATCATGTTACGATTAGACTATGATATGATAGCATCACGATATTTGTGTCATGATGCAATATTATCACAATACGATTAGAACATGATACGATAATCATGATGCTTTTGTCACGATACAATATTATCATAAGATTAAACCACGATACAATGATATCACAATACTTGTGTCGCGATACTTGTCACGGTGCAATATTTTCACAATACGATTAGACCATGATACGATATTATCACAATACTTGAGTCGCGATAAAATATCATGATACTTGTGTCACGATGCAATATTATCACAATACTTGTGTCATGATGCAATATTTGTCATGATACATACTTGTGTCACAATACAATATTATCATGATACGATTAGACCACGATACGATATTATCACTATACTTGTGTCACGATACAATATTATTATGATACAATTAGACCACAATATACTATCACAATACTTGTGTCACGATACAATATTAATTTGATAAAATTATATACTATCACAATACTTGTGTCACGATACAATATTATTATGATACGATTAGACCACAATATACTATTACAATACTTGTGTCACGATACAATATTAATGATAAAATTAGACTACAATATACTATCACTATACTTGTGTCATGATACAATATTAATGATAAAATTAGACTACAATATACTATCACTATACTTGTGTCACGATACAATATTATCATGATACGATTAGACCACAATACGATATTATCACGATACTTGTGTCACGAAACAATATTATTGATACGATTAGACCACGATACAATATTTTCACGATACTTGTCACGATACAATATTATCATAATGATTAGACCTTGATGCGATATATCGTCGATACTTGTGTCAAAATACAATATTATCACGATATGATTACACCACGTTACGATATTATCACGATACTTCTGTTGTGATATAATATTATCACAATATGATTAGTTCACGATACGATATTATCACAATACTTGTGTCAAGATACAATATTATCAAAATCCAATATTATTACGATATGATTAGATCAAAATGCGATATTATTACAATTCTTTTAACATGATATGATTAGACTATGATACAAGATTATGTATTAATGTGTGTCAATCCTCTATTATCACTATACAATTTTATCATGATACTTGCGTCATGCTAAAATATTATCACGAGATGATATTATCACAATACTTGTGTCACGATGCAATATGATCACAATACAATTACACCATGTTACGATATTATCACGATACTACAGTCACGATACAATTTTATCATGATATGATTAGACAACGATATATTATAACAATACTTGTGTTAGGATACAATATTATCATGATATGATTAGACCACAATACAATATTATCACAATACTTGTGTCGCGATACAATATTATCATGATACGATTAGATTCATTCATTCATTTTCTTGTCTGCTTAGTCCCTTTATTATTCCGGGGTCGCCACAGCGGAATCAACCGCCAACTTATCCAGCACGTTTTTATGCAGCGGATACCCTTCCAGCCGCAACCCATCTCTGGGAAACATCCACACACTCATTCATACACTACGGACAATTTAGCCTACCCAATTCACCTGTACCGCATGTCTTTGGACTGTGGGGGAAACCGGAGCACCCGGAGGAAACCCACGCGAAGGCAGGGAGAACATGCAAACCCCACACAGAACGCCAACTGAGACAAGCCGAGGTTAGAACAAGCGACCCAGCGACCTTCTTGCTGTAAGACGACAGCACTACCTACTGCGCCACTGCTTCCCCACAATTAGACTACAATATTATCACGATTCTTGTGTCACTATACAATATTATCAAGATACGATATTGACATAAGAGTGTCACCATCCAATATTATCACAATACTTGTGTCGCGATACAATGTTATCCTGATACTTGTGTCGTGATACAATATTATCACAATACTTGTGTTACGATCCAAAATTATCACAAAATGATTAGACCACAAAAAAATATTATCTCGATACTTGTGTCACAATACAATATTATCAAGATACGATATTAGGATACGATATTGTCATACTAGTGTCGCGATTCAATATTATCACGATACTTTTGTCGCGAAACAATATTATCACAATACGACTAGACCAAAATCATATGATATGATTAGATTATGATATAATACTATCATGAAGCTTGATTTTAAAAGCATCGCCATATTCATATTCTGCGATATAAACTTTTTGAAGCATTTTAATTTCAGTGGAATAGACTATTATCAGTGAGCCAGAAATCTCGCCGATTTCTTATAAAAATATCTTATTTTTTTCTCCAGATAAAATGAAGTCAGGTTGGACAGAACTTTCGGTTTTGGGTAAACTAATTGTTTAACTTGGCAATAATGAAGCTTCAAACTTTACATAGGGCAATGTTCGTACACACTCTTCAGCCTATAAGCAACCCACAAACACAAATGCACTTTAGCATAATGAGCATGGCTATTTACAAGATACGGTTTTGATATTCAAGAAAACGGCTCTCTATTGCATAAATATGAGAATAATGTTGTATAATGTCGAGTGTGTTTGCCTGAGATGAAACATGATGAGCTCAGCTAAACACAATATGATATGATCTCTCATATACATCTGCTTTTCCTCCACAGGGATTATTGACAAACAGGTCTGACGGAGCAGATGCTGTTTAATACAGAGATCAACACTGATGCTCATTTCAGACAATAACATGGTGCATATGAGCAAAGGATCAGCAATCAAGGATATTTGTGATACTGGAACCAATTAAAAAAAAAGAGATGCAAACATGCTGAATGAGATTTATCAACACAAACTCACGGCAATTGGTAAATATGATAGCTGAATAAATAAGTTTGTCATTGACAGACTATATTTTTGAAAATAAAGAATACATAAGTTTTTCATTGATTTGATTTATTGGAATAGAACTAAATTTAGAAAATAAGTTGAATAAATAAGTATTCTGTTGATGTATTTATAGGATAAACCTATAGTTTGTAAAATAAGCTGAATAAATATTTTTTTATTGATGTATTTATTAGGATAAAACTCTTATTTTATAAAACAAACTAAATAAATATTTATTAGTATACATTTTTACATCAATAAAAATTTATTTATTAGGATAAAACTTTTATTTTATAAAATAAACTAAATAAACATTTTTATTGATGTATTTATTAGGATAAAACTCCTATTTTATAAAACAAACTAAATAAATATTTATTAGTATACATTTTTACATCAATAAAAATTTATTTATTAGGATAAAACTTTTATTTTATAAAATAAACTAAATAAACATTTTTATTGATGTATTTATTAGGATAAAACTCCTATTTTATAAAACAAACTAAATAAATATTTATTAGTATACATTTTTACATCAATAAAAATGTATTTATTAGGATAAAACTTTTATTTTATAAAACTAAATAAATATTTTTATTGATGTATTTGTTAGGATAAAACAATATTTTGAAAATAATCAGAATAAACATGTTTTCCATTGATGTAATACATTTTTATTGATGTATTTATTAGGACAAGAGCAATATTTAGAAAAATAAGTTGAATAAATAAGCTTTCAATTGAAGTACTTTTGTTAGGATAGAACAATATTTTGGAAATAAGCCGAACACATACATTTATTATTGATTTATTTATTAGGAAAGAACAATAATTAGAAGAAAAAAAAAAACTAATCTAAAGATTTATGTTTTATTAGAATATAACATTATTTTGCTCTGGTTTCCCCCACAAGTCCAAAGACGTGTGTTATAGGATAATTGGATAAGCTAAATTGTCCGTAGTGTGTGTGTGTGTGTGTGTGAAAGAGTGTGTATGGGTGTTTCCCAGTGTTGGGTTGTGGATGGAAGGGCATCTGCTGTGTAAAACATATGCTGTTGGTGGCTCATTACGCTATGGCGACCCTTGATAAATAATGGGACTAAGCCGAAAATAAAATGAATAAATGAATGAATATTTTGAAAATAGGCTGAATAAATAAGTTTTTATTGATGTGTTTTATTAGGATAGAACAATATTTTGAAAATAAACAGAAAAAACATGTTCCATTTATGTATTAGGATAGAACACTGCTTTAAATATAAACAGAATAAATAAAATTCCATTGATGTAATTAAACTATATTTTGTGAATAAGCAGAATAGGTTTTCCATTGATGTATATTTTATTAGGTTAAGAACAATATTTAAAAAAGAAGATGAATAAACATGTTTTCCATTGATGTATTTATTATAATAGAACAATATTTTGAAAATAAACCGAATAAATAAGTTTCCTATTGATGTGTGAACAATATTTTTTAAATAAGCAGCATAATTACGTTTTTATTGATGATTTATTAAGATATGAGCAATATTTTGAAAATAAGCTGAATAAATTAGCTTTCCATTAATTTACTTATTAGGATAAAATAATATTTTGAAAATAGGCTATAGAATTATGTTTTAATTGATGTATTTATTACAATAGAACAATATTTAGAAATTAAGTTAAGAATAAGTATGTTTACAATTGGTGTATTTAATAGGATAAGAGCAATATTTTAGAAATAAACAAAATAAAAAAGTTTCTATCCATGTATTTATTAGTATAGAACAATATTTGTAAAATAAGCAGAATAAATATTCTTCCTTTTGATGTATTTCTTAGGATAAAACAATATCTTAAAAATGAACTGAATAAATTAATTTTCAATAATTTATTTATAGGTTAAAAACTTATTTTGAAAATAGTCTGAATAAATGTGTTTGGTGTTTTTAAATTGGTGTATTTATTAATATAAGAACAATATTTAGAAAGTAAGTTGAATAAGTAGATTTTCCATTGATATATTTATTAGGATAAAACATTATTTAAAAAATAAGCTGGATAAATAAGCATTTTATTGATGTTTTCATTAAGATAAAACAATATTTTGAAAACAATAATTAACTAAATTAAATTATAAATTAAATAATTAGGTTTTATATATATATTTTATTTAATAGGATAAAACAATATTTTGAAAATAAGATGAATAAATAAAATCTTAATTAATGTATGTATTAAGATAAAACAATATTATGTAAATAAGCCATACGTTTCCATTGATGTATTTATTGGAATAGAATAATATTTTAAAAATCTAAAATCTAAAGGTGCTTAATGCACGTTACTGATCAAAAGTGGAGTCTTGATATATTTGCAGTAGGAAATTTACAAAATATCTTCATGGAACAGGATCTTTATATCCTAATGCTTTTCAATATAATATAGAAATATATCATTTAGAGTGGACTCATACAGTGCATTTTTAAATATTGTCAGAAATTTACTCGTGCAAAGTAAACCTTTTCTCTTATAACTACATTTGAATTCCTTATAGAGTAAATAACAACAAAAATCACAGAAAGAGTTCATAGATGTACTATTACTACTACCTTTCCCTTAAAATGCAGCGCAGTCATTCAGGTTCAGACTAATGTTGGTCTTGTTGCCCACACAAGTGTTTCAAGCTCAAGTGTAACACAGGAAAGCAACATCGACATCCTGTGTGTGAAGACTGAGTGTGTCTGTGAAGCCGAAAATAGCAAATACTACGATTTACACACTTCTTATCTCATCTCCAGTTTAGCAAAAAAAAAAAAAAAAGTGTCTATACCACAAAAAAAAAAAAAAAGAGATGAAGATAATATATTTGGCGTGAAGCTCTTTTGTATTTACATTATCATTCATCCACCAACTAATCCAGCACGTTTTTACGCAGCAGATGCCCCTCCAGCCGCAACCCATCTCTGAAAAACATCCACACACACACACATACACTACGGACAATTTAGCTTACCCAATTCATCTGTACCGCATGTCTTTGGACTGTGGGGGAAACCGGAGCACCCAGAGGAAACCCAGGCGAACGCAGGGAGATCATGCAAACCTTACACAGAAACGCCAACTGACCCAGCCGAGGCTCGAAACAGCGACCTTCTTGCTGTAAGGTGACAGCCATTATATCATATATTTTACAAATCAAACGCTTGGTTGTGTTTACGAAGCAGAATTTAGTAGTTTTCATGTAAAAGTGAAAGAAAAGCGTGCTTTAAACAACAACAATGAAGAAGTTAACAAAAAATACAAGCTCCGTCTATTACAAAATCATATCGGAATTGAAACCAGCTCATAGATTTGTCCAAAATGCATTTAAAATGAGGAAGGAAAAAAAAAAGAGTTATATTTGTTATGAGAAAATCTGCAAGTCAAAGAACCATTTCATTTTATTCAGTTCAATAACTAATTTAAACTTAGCCTAGACATTTGATAATTGTCTTTATATACACTATCTTAGTCGACATGGGTTCTGAGAAGGGATGATTTTTGATTTGAAAGCACTGGCGCCCTCTAGTGGAAGCTAAATACACTCACATTCTAAAAGACATCAGATCTTATATAGCAGTAAAACACTACGTTCACATATCTGAATAATATCAGGGCACCTCTCTCTCTCTCTCTCTCTCTCTCTCTCTCTCTCTATATATATATATATATATATATATATATATATATATATATATCAATTTCTGTAAACTGATGATGTGGTCACTGTTGCTTGCTTGCTTAGGCTAAGTTTAAATGAAGCTGCTTTATCTGCTCGTCTGCACTGTCTGTTTTAACATTCTCTGTTGAGAAAAGGAGAAGAGCATCTTGATATTGATCACTTGTTTATTTGGCGGACATTAGTTATGCTCATCTTTTTGGAGTGCATAATTCAGTAAAACAGCTCTATACACACACTACCTGACAAAGGTCTTGTCGCCTGTCTAAGTTTCAGAAACAAGAAATAATAACTTGACTTCTAGTTGATCATTTGGCATCAGAAGTGGCTAATATGAAAGGCAAAGGCCTCTAGATTACACTTACTTTTCCAAAATAAAATACGATCATGCCTTGATTTTTAATTATTTCATTAAGACAATAAGGTCTGACTTTGCTTAGACAAAAGTCTTGTCACATAACAGAAATAATGTACAGTATATAATATAAAGTCATGCTGCAGTGGAAGAAGAATTAATATTGTGTATGACTCCCATGAGCTTGGAGGACTGAATCCATACATCACTGCAATGACTCAAATCACTTCTTAATAAAGTCATCTGGAATGACATAGCAAGCATTCTTGCAGGACTCCCAGAGTTCATCAAGATTCTTTGGATTCATCTTCAATGCCTCCTCCTTCATAATGTTCATTTCTGGTGATTGGGCTGGCCAATCTTAAAGCACCTTGACCTTCTTTGCTTTAAAGATCTTTGATGTGGAGGCTGAAGTTTGAGAAGGAGCGCTATCCTGCTGAAGAACTTGCCCTCTGCTGTGGTTTGTAATGTAATGGGCAGCACAAATGTCTTGATACCTCAGGCTGTTGATGTTGCCATACACTCTGCAGATCACTTGCACGACCCCATACCGACAGGTAACCCCAAACCATGATTTTTCCTTCACCAAACTTGACTTATTTCTATGAGAATCTTGGGTCCATGATTGAGATGCAGTTCAACAGGAAAAAAATCTATCTGCTGCCACTTTTTTCAAACGATCAACTAGAAGTCAAGTTATTATTTGTTGCTCTTACATCTGGGATCAACGACAAGACTTTTATCAGGTAGTGTATTTAGATATACTTCGATATTTACATTTAGTAAACATATTTACATATATATATGGCCTTATATTACCCTATGAAATATACTGTGTGTTTGCTTTTGAAGTGAAACAATTTTATGAAGTGTGATTATAAAACACAGAATTAATAATTTTTACCATTAGAGGCTGGACATGTTCACACAGTGCTGCCACCCAACTGTTTAAACCCTCTATAAAAGTGCTTTTTTTTCATAACAGGTCCACTTTGAAGGTCATTTTTAAACGGTGATAATTTATCATCGAAACAATAATAATTTTACTTTTAATAAAACCAGAAATATACCATCTCTCCACTGAAAGTGTGTTGATCAGTGTGTTAAATCCACTACACAAACTTAAATCTTGCTTGATTCATTTGTTTCTTGATTATTACTGTGCAGCAGCTTTGGAACTTTCAGTTTTGTATAATTAGCTGGCTATATAAAAGACGACTTGTTCATGTTAATTCTCGCAAAAAAGAAACTAACCAACAACAAATGAACAAGACTATGCGACAAAGAAACTACTACTTAACTTCGTTTTGGTTTAATATAAATGAATAATTGTTTATTGATTATTTTCTCACTTCGCCGTTTGTGAATCACAAAGGCTTTCCTTCTGCCACGAACAAGAACAAAACACATTCAAACCAAAACAACAGCAACAGCACAGTCAGTCCTGCAGCAGCAGAGGGAGATATTAATGTTGATCATCCTTATAATAACACACACTGACAGCACGGTCTGTGTGTTTCACTACTCGAAGCACAATTTAACTTTACAAGCTATTCAGATCACTTACTGCATGTGGAGAACTCAACTGAACCTGCTTACGTGTGTTTTGAATGATATCATCTCAAAATTACCAGAGAAAAACATTTGAAATGCAAATTTTTGTGCATTTTATTTGCATCCTGGTTTCACTTTACTCTTTCCAAAAGCTGAAACCAGCATGCGGCACTTCATACTTTCAGGAAGTAAAAGAGTGTTGTTGTCTCTTTAAAGTTGGAAAAGCTACTTAAAGGGATAGTTCACATAAATATGAATATTCACTCCTACCAACTCATCCTCAAGAGGCTCCAAAGCATGATGAATTGATTTATTCCGCAAAGCAAATAAAAATATGACACTTTGGAAAATGCTGGAAACCCACAACCATCGACCATCATAGTCAGAAAAACAAATACTTCCAACATTCTTCAAAATATTTTCTGTTAAGGTTTGAAACAAGTAAAGGATGACAACATTTTTAGTTTTGAGAGAACTATCCCTTTAAATGAGCCTTACGCATGATGTTTTCTGAAAGTAATCAAACGTAGAACAGAAAGAGTGAAGCTAGTGTGTGTGTGTGTGTCTAGGTTTGGGGTCACTGTGGGAGCTGCAGGAGTGTCCCTTGTCCGGACGGGAGGTAGGTGACGTTACGAGCGCGGCTGAGCTGGAAAGCGATGTCCTCTGCCGCCTCCAGCTTCCTGAGCTCCACCAAACCATCGCCAGCTTCAGCCAGAGAGTTGGCGATTAGCAGCGCAGCCTGAGAGTCTCCTTCGGCTGAGATGATGGCCGCCTGCTTCTGCTGCTCCGCCTGTCACACAAACACATTAAACAACATTAAAGCACACATCAAATCAAAACCACCCATACTGATTTTGTTAGCTCACATTTTGTGGTGAACAGTTCATCTGTGCATGTCATTTTCATGTCATGCTAATCTTTAAGTGAAATCTGAAAGTGCACTTCCTGTTTGTTTTTAGTTACATTTTCAGATCATGTCTGTCTGAAGTATTGGGCGTGGCTAACACACTTGACCACGCCTCTCCAACAATCAGTTGACAACAAACAGAAATGGTGAGCAGGGGTCCGTTCTTCGTACGTGGATTACTCAATTAGCTGGATTTGGATATTGACAATTTGACACGATTCAGGATCGTTTCGTTCTTCAATTGCTGATCATGATTTCGAGGATCGATAGATCTGTCCTTCACAACACACACAGCGATCTCAGATCAGTTCATCCAGCCATTCTAATCTGATTCGCGAACTCGTTTGAAGAACCAAATTAGCGAGAGATCAGTTATCAAGATTAAAAGATCCAGGATCTGCCAAATAATCTTAGATCAAATGATCTAAGATGATTTGGCAGATCCTGGATCTTTTAATCTTGATAACTGATCTCTGGCTATTTTGATTTCCTTAAACAAGTTGGCGAATCAGATTAAAATGTCTGGATGAACTGATCTGAGATCGCTGCGTGTGTAGTGAAGGACAGATCTATCGATCCTCGAAATCATGATCAGCAATGCAACGATTGGCTGACGGCACAGCTGCGTAATGACATCATCTGATTAATATTCAATTATTCATGAATTACATAAAGTTAATAGGAAACAGTTTGTTAAATATGACATGCAAAAACGGTTTCTTAATCACTGGCAGAGCTGTGGTAAAAACTAAGCCCTATTGGCTGTTTCTTTAAAGGGGCGGAGCTGCTACATGCCCCACCCTCTTTTCATATTTCAGTTGAAATAACGTCAAACATCGCAAACATTTAAAGCACTTCATGGAACTTTTAATCAAAGTCATATTTGGCGCATGTTTATTTGTGGCTCCCACCTTCTCCACAACAAATCTGGCTCTCTCGGCCTCCTGCTGTGCGACCTGCTTCATCTCCACAGCCTCAGTGAACTCCTTGCCAAACGTCAGATGTGTCTGCGGAGAGAAAACATGAGGGTGAGACAAACCAGAAAGAATAAACCCATCAGCTGACGAGATGAGAGGTGTTTTACCAGTGAGACGTCATCTAGAATGAGGCCGAAGGTGGAAGCTCTTTCTGTCAGATCCTCACTGACCTGTCTGGACACCAGCTCTCTCTGAGTGATCAGCTCACCCGCATCAAAACGGGCCTGCGCAAACGCACACGCACGCGCACACACACACACACACACACACGCGCACACACACACACACACACACACACACACACACACACACACACACACACACACACACACACACACACACACATCACTAATCTAACTTCAGTTTCATGTTCTGTAGATCAACACTCTATTATTCACATTTTTATTCACAAGTCTGGAGTCTGGCTTTTTATGAGCATTTGGAAAAAGTCTCTTAAACACTGCTGTTGGGGATGTTTTAATCAACACTGGGTTGATTTTGATTAATAATTTGGCCACAATTTTCTCTGTGTTTCAGCAAACAGAATAATTTTTGGTGACAACTCTTATTTTGACACATATTTTGGGAAAATGCTTTGAAAGTTTTCAAAAATTCAACAATACACTCTGGGCAAATTGACTCCCCTTTCATTATGTTCGTGGCTGTTTTTGCCCCATTGACTTTCATTATAATGACATTATTTGATTGCAAAGCCATGATGACAGCATATAATCAGGCATCTTTGCTTGTTGCTGGTTTTCCCTATTGGGAAATGGTACAATTTTAAACTTTTACTGTTGATCATCAGTTGTAGTTGAAGAATCCAGCTAAGAATCTGAGAATCCCTGTAGCAAACTTATGCGTGTCGTTTCAAGAAAACAACCATTAATTTGTGTTGTGTTTTATTTTAATTTGCTTTTATTCATTCATTTATTCTTCATTTAAATATTTTATTTAAATCATATGATCATTAGTAATTCATAATTATTACTATATAATTTTATTGATCATTAGTTAATGATTTGATTATTATTATTGATTATTATTTGTCATTTTATTATGTTTTAATATTTTATTATTGCCATTTTCCTATAACTATTGCTTCATTATAATTTCCATTTTTTCATATTGTTATAATCTTATGACTGTATGGATTTAAGCGACACTTGTTTTCATGAGTAAGTGAAGTTTCTATTTCAAGGTCTGTATTGTCTCTGGACAATGTTGTAAAGCAGTAACTTTTCATTGCTGTTGCTTGTGGTATAATAACACTTGTTGGATTTATCCTGGTCAGAGTCTGAGCATTGAATCATACACAACTAAGATTATTCAATAAACTCTGCTCTTTCTTTATCATCATTACTTCGTCTCCTGCTTCTGCTCCTCTCTGGTCTCCTCAGTCAAATTCTATATGGATAGGAGACTGTTAATTCAGTTAAATACTGGTTAACAGGTTTGGGTAATGGAATTTCTGTTGACTTGTTGTCCATATACATGGAGAAACTAACATTAGTTGACAAGATCTGGTGTCTGGGGCTGGATCGTATTTATCTGGTGTGGAGATGGTGGTCTAACATAGTCAATCAAAAATCAAAACTTCATTATAAGGGAAGTCAATGGGGCAAAAACAGCCACCAACATAACGGAAGGGTAGTCAATTTAAACAGACAGTACACAAGGGTTAAGTCAAACAATGCAAGATTTGTTTGTTTATTGTCACATCAGCAACTTATGGCTATTTCATGGCAAAATCAAGAGATAAAATACATACTACATAACAATAACTTTAATAACAACTTCATTCTTCAAAAAGTGTTGATATTAAATAAATGTTAAAAATAATTAAAAATCACAATTTATATAAAAAATAATTAGATATGATTTTCAGCTCAATTTTTGAAAACTAAAATAAAACAAAAAAAATCTTTTTTTTTTTGTTTTTAAAGCAGAAAGCGGAAACCCCTTTATTTTATACAACAGTGATAACTTCATATAGTCAATTAAAACCATACAAAATCAGGTTAGAAATGTCTTATTTCATAGTGGATATTAAAAATTTTTTAATTTTGAACGCTACTGCTGAACGACATTTTTACAATTTGTATTACTGCAGTTAAACATTTTTATTACAACAAAAAAAAAAAGTAAAAAAAAAATCATGCTGTAATGCAACAGTTTGTCTACAAAGTGACATAACTTATTTGATAATTATAAAAGACTTTCTGACAGCTAAAGTCCCTGGGTTAAAAATGACAAACACACACAAATGAAAAGCGTAAACATTTAAACAAAACATGTTAAACAACATGTCTTAAATAAAAATTAATAATAATAAAAATAATAATAATAATAATAATTTAAAAAATAATAATAATCGCATTATGCCAGATCTAAATGGAAAAATGTATGAAAAAAACTGCATCTATTTGATCAAGAATAAAGAAAAAATAATAATATTGTAAAATATGTGATGTTTTCCTATGTATTACATTAAACTTTAAATCATATTAGTTAATATATTAATTTATATATTTTATGGATGAAGTTGAATTTATAAAAAAAAAATCCACTCTTCTGTCTCATGCAATCCTTCAGGGATCACTTATATATGCTGATTGTCAACACACATCAACAGTTACGCTCCTTAATATTTTGTGGAAACTGAGATATGATTTTAAAGTCTTCTTTGATGAACAGAAAATCTATTTATATGGTTTTATGAGATGCTTTTATTTTTATTCATTTTATTCTTTAAAATTATTAATCTTTTGACTCTCGATTAATTTCTATACATCTTTAATGAATAAAAAACCCCTTTCTTTTAAATTCGGTTGCCGGTACCCACCACTACAGACTTCAGCACTTCAGTGGTGATGGAGGGCAGAACTCTCTCATCATAGTCCTCTCCGATACTGGTGAAAATGCGCGGCAGCTGTCCTGCAACCGGTCTGAACAGGATCCTCAGTGTGATGTTCACATTCTGCAAATCTGTCAAAGACAACGACAAACCATAAGCCAGTTTCCAATGTTTGATTAGTAAAGGTTAATGAAAACAAACTAAACATTTGAAAAATAACAATCATCATACTGACAAACAGATATTGGCTGTATCTGAAATATACCCTTATAGTGCGCTATTTAAGGGAGCAGCCATTTCTAGTGGTGCCCAAAACCATAGAAAAATGTTCTGAAGTGCACCATATCAATCCCACAATGCACCACAATAACAAGTCTACAACCCATGTACACTCAACAGCTAGAAAATACCCAAAATGCACCATGAGAGCCAAATGAATTTCAATGTCTGACCACAACTTGGCCTCCACAGTGGAATGGATGTAGGTTTCAAATTCTAATATTACTTAATTAAAATAACGATTATATACTTGACAGAAATTAAAATACTCTGTCTCATTACTAATAGGCTAAGTGTTAAAGAACTAAGTGTTATCACAGGGCCAGAACAAGAAGTTTAAAGACTAATCCATCTGAGGGATTTACCAACCAGCAAAGCACAAACAAGTGGACTATATTAGTGGACAGATGTAGGGAATAGTGCTTAAGGGGTGATTTAGGATAAAGCAATAGACAAACATAAGAGCAATCAGAAAAAGAGGATTGAAGTGAAGAGCTGAGCAGTTTGACGCACCTTTGCTACCGGTAATGACGGGTACGTTGCGTGGTCGAGACCTGCAGTCGAAGATGATTGGCTTCTGCACCCAGGGTATAAGGAAGTGTGTGCCTTCCCCAACAACAACATCCTGAACACCTCGAAACCTGTCAAAGATGACGGCCCTGTGTCCCGCATCCACTGCAATGAGAAACACAGGTCTGAACAACTGATACTATACACATTTGCAGTTCGGCCATAAATAACACATTTCAGTTACATAAAAGGTAAGTTAACCCGTAATAAAAAAATTCAACCATCATTTATTTATTTATCATACAGCTGTTGCAAGACCGTTTGAGGAGGATATACTGAAGAAAGCAGCAGGAACTCGCAACAATAGCTGGACAATAAGTCAATTTTATCTGTTAACTCAAATGTGTTGTTAACAACCATTTAGTTCAGGGGTCGGCAACCCAAAATGTTGAAAGAGCCATATTGGACCAAAAAAAACAAAAAACAAATATGTTTGGAGCCGCAAAAAATGTAAAGCCTTATATAAGCCTTATAATGAAGGAAACACATGCTGTATCTATAGTAGCTATATTAGCCTACTATAAAAATGAGTAAGTTGGCTACAAATACATAATGAGCCTTCATGATTAAATAGCCACTGAAATCAGGTTGTTGGTGTTTATTTCGTTGTCATTTAAACACTTCAGCACAGCCTCTGGTCTTTCAGTGATATTAATTTGATCATTTCTTCTTGCGGCCCATCAGAGTTCATGCATAAAAGCGCATTGAATATCGGTCACATCACAGGCAATTGAGTATGCGGGCACTGAATTAATGTCCTTGGTTTGCTGATCGGTGATGTTACCTGCCATTTTAATAGCCCTTTCCTTCACTGTCTTAGCGGAGAGAGCGGTATATCTTTAATTTTTTTGTATTATCTGGGTTTTGTTTTTGAAATCTGCAAATAGGTGTTCTAATATGTTGATGAATGACTCCTTTATGTAGTCACCATCTGTGAACGGTTTTCCATGCTTTATTATCTCCCGGTTTGTTTACAACAGCCACCTGCCTGGCATCTTGCCCTGCTGATAGAAACCTGTGTCGCAGGCTATGACGCAAATCTTCGTTGACAGAAATGTTGAAATTAAATATTAATTCTACACACTTTTACAGCATTTGAAAACGTTAAAAATGTTTGTCCTCCAATAGAAATCATATTAAAACAAAAATATATACTAACCTTCCCCATCTTTTTGAACACTTTTGAAAAAACTTAAGGGAGCCACAAGTGCATCGCTAAAGAGCCGCGGGTTGCTGACCCCTGATTTAGTTGAATGAAAGTCAGGTTTCAAACATGCAACGCTCCTCTATGACTCACCCCCACTGACAAAGCTCCAGAATTTTTTCCCATACATGAGCTCATTTGTCCTATTTTGTCTGCTATGCCATTATAAATTGTGAAATAACCCATCTAAGAAAGCTTTAAGACCAAGCAAAATCTGACGCAAGTGAAGCCATCTTTCACTACTGACCTACTGTACTGTTGTTAAATAGAGAAAATATTCACAAGTAACTTTTAATCTAAATCCTGGACCTTATTTTTGAAAGAGCAGAAAAATAAAAAGACCAATAAAAAGGTATTAAGCACCAAAAGTTCATTTTGAAGTCCCTGTGCATTTACTGTAGAAACACACAAACAACATAGCAGCGGGCAGAGAACTCATAGAGAAATGTTGTGCTTTATGAAATGAACAATAAAATAAAAAAAAAATAAAACGGCCACACAAGCACACCTGCTAAAAAAAAACAAAAAACAGCATGATTTAGAGTTCTCAGTCACACACACAGACACACACAGACACACACACACACAGACACACACACACAGACAGACAGACACACAGACAGACACACAGACAGACACACACACACACACACACACACACACACACACACACACACACACACACACACACACACAGACAGACACACAGACAGACACACAGACAGACACACAGACAGACACACAGACAGACACACAGACAGACACACAGACAGACACACAGACACACACACAGACACACACACAGACACACACACAGACACACACACACAGACACACACAGACACACACGGGCTACATAAAGTGCAATTCGATAAATGTAATTTGATGAATGAAAAGTAAAATAAAAATTGACAAGCAAAATCTAGATGTTCCTCGACTTGGACAAAAAAATTTCCATGACTTTAAATATCTGAAATAAACATTTTAAAAATGAACTATTAAGATCCTTTTTTGCAGGATGAAAAATAAATATTGCTTTATAACCATTTTGAAACTGCCCCTTTTAGGCTTTGGTCCAAATTACGCCGCTTCTTTGTGACTGCCGCTTGAAATGTAAACTAGCTTTTGCTCTGTGCAAAGGCAGGTGGAGCTATAAATGTCAATGCGTCAGCATAGTGGCAGATTCATTAACAGTACTTAAGGAGATCTCTGTGAAAACTGAAAATGTGAAAGAAACGTCTCAAAAGAAGGCAGTCTATGGAGACTACAGTGTTCATTTGCGCATCTAAAACTTCACATTAATAGTGCCTTATAGTCAGTGTCATTATCTTCAGCAGGTGAACACTCTAAAGCCGCCTTTCCACTGCACATCACATTCAAACACGACTGTCGGAATACTCCCCCTTGTGGCAGTCGCACAGAACTTTCAGTTTTGTCGTGCACCATGGGAGAGAAGATGTTCTCACAGCGTCAGAAATAAAGGAGTGCAAAAGCAAGAGCCTTTACTCTCTGTGTCCACCATGGTTGAATGAATGAATCAACACTAGAAACTCAGAACGCTAAAAATGTTGGCGGGAATGTGGAAACAAACAAAAAAAAGTATTTTTATGACTCATTTAGAACAAAACATTTTATAATATAGACTTTTTTCTGATTTAAGAAAAAAAAAATCCTATTTCTCATCTCGCACGCACAGACCTGCCCGGACAACACTGAACTACATCACATGCGGTCGGTCGTATACGGTGTAGTCGCAGGAGTTCAAATATTTCCAACAGCAGCTCTGCAGCTCATATCGGATCCAAATTTTCCACATACGGAGAGAATCTGAACTCTACGCAGCTCCCGAACTACTCTCCATTGGAAATTCAACGTCTTCCAGTCTTTCGCTTGTCGTGTGCAGTGGAAGGGCGACTTAATGGCGAATGGCTGCTTCTCACTCAGGGCTGTTTATGCTAATGAGGCAGAGATCGTCACTAATGGACGGGCTTTCCCCCTCTGATGACAGGTACAATGTCAATCAAAGTGTTCATGCAGACTGTTTTTTTATCAAGTCTGATTATAATACTATTAATAAAACTATTGGATAATAATATAATATAATAAATAACTATAATAAAACTATTGTTTTACCATTACAAGCTGGTTATATTCCCACACGGTTGCCACACAACTGCATTTAAACCACTTAGAAAACTGATATATGCACAAATGATCCCCTTTAAAACTCATGATATTCACAAAAATTCCAAGACCCATGGGAACTCTAAATATAGCAATATAAAGTTGCAATATTGTGCATTCCTATGACCTATCGACAGCCTCAATGTGGATAAAATTAACAACAAATTTAATTTGTTGCGTGTAAGCCCTTTAAATTGACCTTATTAGAATACTTATAGGAATTAAATGCTTTAACCATTGCTGCCATTGTTTTACAAAACACATCAGTAGTTATTACAACTCACCATTGTACAGAGCAGAGTTAACAACACCTCCTCCAATGGCCAAGGCCAATCCCAGCTTCCCAATGGACTCAAAGAGCTTCGCCATGACAACAAAGTGACAGTCCTGCGGGGAAAACACATTTATCTTCAGTATCTCATCATGGGTGATCTCTTGTGCATATAGAGCCCTTGGGTAATCAAACCAATGCTAGCCGGTTTAGCCTTGACTCTGACAGTGACACTGACATCAATGTAACGTGCTAATCTGATCTCACTCTAACCGGTCACTGGAAAAATCACAAGTAAAACTGCACAATATACACATATATATACCACTTAAAAACAATTGCTATTACAATAACACATGTGAGACAGATCAACAGGCATTAAAACAATCCGCAGTAGTGAACTTCACTCATTTATTAGCCTGCTACACGCTAATGATGCAACTGTCATGCAATAACGCCAACAAACACCCACACGTCGTGTTTATTTCACTTTCATACTGTCGCGTTATAATTACCGATGCTTTGTGAGTAAAAAAAAAGCTTTAAGTTCGCATTTAAATATAAGTCTCCTACAACGTGAGCACTTACCCGCTGCGCTGAATGATCACAGTGACCTCCACCGGAGCCTGCGCAAGAAACACATGAGCAGGTGGAGCTTGCGCATGCGCAGAACAGTGTCAACATGAGTTTCTCCGATTGGATAGAGAGACCCAAACCGAGCGCCCTCTTGAGTAAGGAGGATTATTATTGGCGTACATCTCACTTTGCTTTAGAACGAGGTGGGTTCACTGCAATGCAATATGTGGGCGTTCCTTATTTCATTTTGTAATGACTTTAATTTATGTACTGTTATTGATACTTAAATGTCTTATGCTCAAGTTTATATCATGTTCTTTATTCATTTTTTCTTCTCTCTTTCTCTCTCGTATCTTTTTTCCATTGACAATGTAATTCATATTGTGTATTATAAACAAATATTGCTACAAACTTGTCATGTGGGCGTTCTTTCGACTGTTTAAAGCGATAGTCCAATCACGTTCAAACTCTAAAAATATGTTTTCAACATTGTGAAAAAACTGTAACCATTGACTTTCATAGGAAAAACCAATAGTATGGAAGTCAATAGTTACTGGCTTCCAACATTTTTCAAAATGACTTATTTTGTGTTCAAAAAAAGAAACAAATTAATTTATTTTCTTCGACTTAGTCCCTTTATTAATTAGAGGTCACCACAGCGGAATGAACCGCCAACTTATCCAGCATATGTTTTACACAGCGGATGCCCTTCCAGCTGCAATCCATCACTGGGAAACACCCATACACTCTCAGTCTCATTCACACACATACACTACGGTCAACTTAGCTTACCTAATTCACCTACAGCGCATGTCTTTGGACTTGTGGGGGAAACCGGAGCATCAGGAGGACCACCTATCCACCTCGCCGCGGAAAGTAAGACATGTTTGTGACAATTGAAGGGTGAATAAATGATCACATAATTTTCAGTTTTGGGTGAACTATGTCTTTAACTTCTGCAGTTGTCTGATCGTTAAGTTTTTAATATTAAATAATTGAGTGTTCTGCGACAGATTATGTATATTGAAAGTGATCCTTTATTCATTTTCTTTTCGGCTTAGACCTTTTATTAATCTGGGGTCGTCAAAGCAGAATGAACCGCCAGCTTATCTAGCATATGTTTTACATAGCGAATGCCCTTCCAGCTGCAACCCATCACTGGGAAACACCCATACACACTCATTCACCTATAACACATGTTTTTGGGAGAAACTGGACCACCAAGGAGAAACCCACGCCAACACGAGGAGAACATGCAAACTCCACACTGAAACGCCAACTGACCCAGCCAAGGCTCGAACCAGCAACCTTCTTGCTGTGAGGCAAATGTGCTACCCACTGCGCCACCGTGCAGTGAGCTTTTATTATTATTTTTATTTCATTGCTGTTGAAAGTGAGAGTGGTATAAAATTGCTACATTTTTCTACTGCACTTCCTGTACAGAGGCTTTACTACTAGTGTCCCACATGCTGTATGAAAACAGAAAAGGACGTTTATTTATATAGCACTAATACCCCAAGCTCATCAAGCATATCAAGACTCTTTGGATTCATCTTCAATGCCTCCTCCTCCATATTACCCCAGACATGCTCAATAATGTTCATCTCTGGTGACTGGGCTGGCCAATTCAGGAGCACCTTGACCTTCTTTGCTTTCAGGATATTTGATGTGGAGGCTGAAGTATGAGAAGGAGCGCTATCCTGTTGAACAATTTGCCTTCTCCTGTGGTTGGTAATGTAACGAGCAGCACAAATGTCTTGATACCTCAGGCTGTTGATGTTGCCATCCACTCTGCAGATCTCTTGCATGCCTCCACACTGAATGTAACCAAACCATGATTTTTTCTTAACCAAACTTGACTGATTTCTGTGAGAATCTTGGGTCTTTGTGGGTTCCAGTAGGTCTTCTGCAGTGTTTGTGATGATTGGGATGCAGCTCAACAGATGATTCATCTGAAAAACTACCTTCTGCCACTTTTCCAAATGATCTACTAAAAGTCAACTAAATAAATTATTTGTTGCTCTTACAACTGGGATCAATGACAAGACTTTTGTGAGGTAGTGTAGGCCTTTGCTAATTAACCGCAGATTAACTATCTTTATATATAATTACTTTAATTAAGTAATATCTCTAAAAGTTAAAGTTATTAGTAACTAATAAAGTTAGCGCACCTAATAAACTTTTCTGATTTTGATTGTAATGCAACAAAGCCATCAAGTTACTTCTTATTGTGGTAAAAGCCACTGTAATACAGTGTATACAAGTTGAACATGGTATGTAGGTGAACCAAGTAGCCTATCTGAACATGGTGAACGACCCCTTTAAATTATAATGCTACTTCAAAACAAGGCAACATGTAGACATTCTGCTATTCTCCAGAATATGACTGTACACCCCCTACTACAGTAAGGCATGTGATGCAGTGATTACGGGAAATCCTACTTCAACCAGACATCTACACCCTCCTCCTTTTTTTTCCAGGACGACACACCCACCAGAAGCGAGTTATTATAACGCACTGCGCAGGCTTTATGCAGTGCAGCTATCTGTAAACTGACGGACACAAGCCCGCAGTTTTAAGGACGCATTCTTCTGAATCGGTAAGTCTCGATTATTTGTTTATTTGGCATTTGTCGAATCACGTTATAACTTTGAGCTATTTTAGGACAACTTAGTTATAGTTAGCTAGCTGTGAATGTCTGCGAATGAGTCATGATGATGATGATGATGATGCGCGAATGAAACTTTATAGCAAAAGTAAACAAACGAATTACTAAATGACATTAGTTCAGGATTCATTCTCCGAATAAAATGTCGTACAGCATGATTGTGATCTTCATCACAATCAAATCAAATAAACAGCTCCTCAGTAATTGAAGCGCTTTACTGTTCTGCCCCGTTTACCTCAGGCTGTTAATTATTTAGGCTGTATCGTGGTGTTCCTGTATTTACAACAGATCGTGAAAAGGCAATTCTTGGATTTCCGCGTTCATCGCCGTTCACTATCGTGTTTTACGATTGGTTCACCTGGCCACTGACGTCACAGCGCACGGAAGATTTAATCAATTGATTGATGTTTGTTTTTATGGGTGTTGCTGAGAGATTGAACTTCTAACATGCAGCTTTACATACCATACACTAAATATACCAGGTCTTACAGAAATGAAGATACGTTGATGCTTTTCCCAAATGTAGCCATACTTAATAGTTAATTAAACACATTGTTGTTATGTTTATTTGGTCATTTTTGTCAGATACTGTCTTAAGATGGTAAATGCATTTGGTAAATGCCATTAAAATGTCTCAGTGGTATACAGTAGACTTTTAAATAAATTAATTAACTAATTTATTCTGTATATATATATATATATATATATATATATATATATATATATATATATATATATATATATATATCAGGGTGTCCACAAGGTCTTAAAATGTCTTAACTCTCAAAAACTAACTTTAGGCCTTAAAAAGTCTTACATTGACCATAATATTGTGTTGTAGGTCTTAAATTATGTTAATCATGTCTTAATTTTCCTACTGTATGTCCAAGTACAGCGAATCAATCACTGATTAACCATCTTAAAGCTATACTTGTTTTTATTTAAGATATACAAGTCACAACAGCTGTTAGACATGTTTACAGCAAATTCTCCTAATTAAATTCCTTAAGCAGGGAAAGAGTACTAAAGCAACACATCCCTTTACATAATCTTCCATTAATATAAAAACTATTTACTGAAGTAACTGGGCCAAATCCTTAGTGTTTAGCCCTGTATAAGTCAAAAATTACATTCATAATGGAAACCTGCAGAAACCCTGATATATATTCATTCGTTCATTCATTCATTCATTCATTCATTCATTCATTCATTCATTCATTTTCTTTTCGGCTTAGTACCTTTATTAATCAGGGGTCGCCACAGTGGAATGAACCGTCATATATATATATATATATATATATATATATATATATATATATATATATATATGTATATATTTCTTTCTAAATTTCAATAGAATAGATTTTCCTGAATTAGTTAAGTGGTAGATTGATCTTGTTATATCTAATGCAAAAAGATTAGGGCTCCGCCAATTGACATGAATAATAAGATACACTACGGGTCAAAAGTTTGGGGTCAGCAGGATTTTTAAATGTTTTAAAATAAGCTTATCCTGCCCACCAAGGCTGCATTTATTTAATCAAAATACAGTCCAAATTGTAAAATTGTGAATGTTATTGCACTGTAAAATTACTGTTCAAAAGTAGTTTATAATTTAGTTTAAAGTTATTTTTAAGATGAATTTTCAGCTTCATTTCTGCAGTCTTCAGAGACTGAAAGTAAAAATCACTCTAATAATAATAAAAAAAATAAAAAAAATAATTATTATTATTATTATTAATGCTAATAGTAATAAAATCGACAATGACTGGAGTAATAACTATATTATTTAAAATTCTATTGTTATTTAAAATTGTCATTAATTTTAAACAATTTTTTACATTTAATAAATGCCACCTTGACGAACAGAATAATTTTAATAATAAGAATTGATGAACAGAATAATAACCCCAAACTTTTGAGCGGTAATCTATTTTTTTTTTTAATAAAAATAAAGCAGTGATGTCCATTATAATGCATAAAGAGTCTAAAATATTTATCATGAGATTACCCTTCTTTAATGAGCCATTAGATAACATTGCATCACTTTATTTGCGAACTTCATTCTTACCTGATATCTTTATTTTAGGGAGTGTTGATAGTGTTGTGCAACATTTTAAAAAAAGGGTGTAGGAATTGTGTGGGTGTTCGTAAAAAGAGCCTTGAATGACACAGACAACGTTGCAGCCTAAAACCAATCGCTTCCAATTGATCAAATCAGGAACTAATCAACATATAATCAGCTATAATCTCAGTATTGAAAGACCACAAGCTAAACTGTCATCTCGACACAGCATTGTTATCATGAAATAGCCCTAAAGAGATAAGAAACTGAGGTGTGTTCACTCATTAAACTTGCTGATGTTAACATTATGGACTTTTTTGTGCATAATACAAACTGGCATACACTGCTAAGGCGCTGTAAGTCTGTAGAGCAAATACAAACTCTCATAA